CCAGCCCAATCTCACCCAAAGCCATGGGGACTGTTGCCTCCCTCTGATGTCCACTCTTAGCCCATGGCTCTTTAGTGAGCAGGTGGTGGATCCTGCCAGGACTGGGTCCTTCCCTTCAAGGCAGCATGTTGCCTTCTGGGCCAGGTGCGTCCAAAAATCTGTCTAGGAACTAAGGCCTGGACTCAGGGACCTCAGGACTCTGCTTGGTAATTTATTTTACCATGGCTGAGTTCATGCACAAGTTGCAAAACAAAGTTTTCTGAGTGCTTCCCTTTCCTCTTTTTGCTTAGGTGGAAGGAAAGTCTCCCTGAGCTGCACTGCCTGGAGTTGGGGGAGGGGCGACACAGCATTGGCTTGGCCACAGCTGCTGGTGTCTCACTGGGTCATGTGCACCCCAAGTCCACTGGCTGTGAGCCAGCACAGCTGCAGGAATTGCCCAAGGACTACAGTCCTTGTGGTCCAACTGCCTTAGGAATCTAGTCCAGGCTCTTTGGCAGCAGGTGGTGGGGCTAGCTGGAACTCAGGTTTGGGGCAGAGAATTTCTCTCTGTGGGCAGCAGCAGAATTCTGCCCTGTGCTGTGTCCCCTGTGCCAGGGTGGCCCTGAGTTTCAAGGCCCCACAATGACTTCACGCTCCCTCTCCCGGGCTCACGGACTCTCTCCACTGGGTGAGCTGGCGCAGCCCTGCCGGGGCTTGGGGAGGGGTCGCACAGGAAAAGGAAACCTGTGTTTTCTGCCCACTTCAGTGCTTCTCTTCTTGACATAATGTTCAAACAAGGTCCTGTGATTGCTCACCTGATTTTTAGTTTTCCTGAATGTACTTGCTTGCATGGACAGTTGTGACTTAGGGGGGTCCGTGTGGAGGGAGGATCCCTGGTGGTTTCTACTCAGCCGTCCTGCTCCGCCCCCTGAGGTGGCTTTAAATGCTGGTTTTATCGCCAGGGCTAGTCCCCCTGACAGCTGATGGCGAGTCAGGCAGGGCTGTCCTCGCCTCCACACAGTGTCTCTGAGCTAGTCCTCAGCCCAGGAGGCATGTGCAAGTGTGGCTGTCCCTTTTCACTGACACACGATGAAAGCACAGAGAGGGTAAGCCATTTGGCTGAAACCGCCCAGGGAGTAACGGCAGGACAGGGACCCGATGGTGTGCTGCCCACTCCATCCTCACAGCTCTTCAGAACTTTTGAAGACCAACTGGCTTAAGAATAAAGAGGAATATTATTAATACTCTGCATAGTGTAGGGCAGGCAGCCTCAAACTACGGCCCATGGGCCACATGTGGGTCTTTTTGCCCGTTTGTTTTTTTACTATAAAACAATATATGTGCAGCATGCATAGGAATTTGTTCACAGTTTTTGTTAAACTATACTCCGACTCTCCAGTGGTCTGAGGGACAGTGAACTGGCCCCCTGTTTAAAAAGTTTGAGGACCCCTGGTGTAGGGCATTCACACTTGAATTTACAAGAGCTGGGACATAGAGATTTCGGTCTTAAATTTTAAAGTAAACACACGCTTAATTCAAACAACCATGGATTACCTCTGATCATATTTCTAAAGAAAAGGGGCAAATTTGAGAGACTAGTGAAGCACTTTCAGGATGGGTATCATGGAAACAAGACATGAAGGGGCAGCTCTGCGATGCTCAGGCGACGTCTACTGGAGAGCAGCTCGCTTCCGAGACCTCGTGTGGCCGTCACAGCATCTCAGGGCGCGTCAGAACCAGGGAGGACGCCCGTCTCCACCCAGGACTTCCGAGGCTCGCTGATAAGCACCAAGAGAGATGTTTCAGGGCCAGGCATGGTGGCTTAAGCCTGTAATCCTAGCACTCTGGGAGGGTGAGGTGGGAGGATCATTTGAGCTCAGCAGTTCAAGACCAGCCTGAGCAAGAACGAGTCCCCGTCTCTACTAAAAATAGAAAGAAATTAACGGAACAACTAAAAATATATAGAAAAAATTAGCTGGGCTTGGTGGCGTATGCCTGTAGTCCCAGTTACTTGGGAGGCTGAGGCAGGAGGATTCCTTAAGCCCAGGAGACTGAGCCTGCTGTGAGTTAGGCTGATATCACGACACTCTAGCCCAGGCAACAGAGTGAGACTCTGTCTCAAAAAAAAAAAAAAATGAAAGCTATTTTCTCACCTTTTATTTCTAATGAGCAATGCTAAACACCATTTAGGATGTTCCATGATGTTTTCAGCTCTCTGCTAGTAAGGTTCCCCATTTTCTTAAAGTTGACATTTTTTATTTGCAACGAAGTCACAGACTAGACAAAGTAAAAACTCCCCTACTTCAAAACATACAGACATGCTAGATAAAATACATCATCCATGCCTTTAAATGCATAGCTGAGCTCATTGAAATGAAAAACTAACAAACCGACAGGGTGTGGGGCAGGAGACAGAGTCACAGAAAACTGAAAATCAGAGTATTCAGCAGAAGGACAGTTGCTGGGGTTGTTCTGATGGGAGGAGGGGTCTTGTTATCTAAAATCTAGGATGTGGATTTTGAGACCTCAATGGGGTCAGTAGACACCCTCCCCCATTATTATTGTTAAATAAACCTCTGCAAAAGCCTAACCTTTTATTGACATAAGGATGGGCAGATAGACCAGTGGAACACAAGGAGAGTCTTGAAATCAGCCCACACCTGTGGCCACCTGACCTGTGACAAAGGCAGCTAATGGCAACGGTGGGATGCTGAGCTGAGGCTCAGAAGACAGGAGCATCTCCCAGTTCCGGAGGAATTGGCAGAACAGGACTCTGGTTTCCTACAGAAAATGTGACCTCTTAATGTCTGAACGAAGATGATTCAGAAGCTTCATGGGGAAGACTAAGGATTTCATTTAAAAACCTAACACTGCCTTTGCCTTCCACTGTTCTGAGGCTTCCTAAGAGATCACACTTAGGGCAATTCCCAAACTTTAGCACATCGGAACCCCCTGGAGGGCGTGTGGGGAGACAGACTGCTGTAGCCTGGGGAGGGCCAGGAACCTGCACTGCAAGGAAGAGCTCGGGTGATGCTGACACTGCTGGTCCACTTTGGGAATCACGGCTGCAGGGCCGGGTGCTCAGAGCCAGGACGTGCCTGGAAATCTGGAAGCAAAGCCGATTATTCAACCTGTGCTCAAATGGAAAATGTTCTCAGTTGCAAAAACAAAAAAGAAACTACTATAAAGAACACAGAATGCATGTGTGTGAAAGTGAGAGAAAATGTTAAATGGAACATGCATTTTTAAAGAAGGGTGAGATTTGCTCTTCAACTAAAGCTCTCAGAATGTCGCCAGCAGAGGGCCGACCGCCCGTGGGCACTGAGGTAGAGCTGGGAGACCGGCCTGGCCTGCAGGGACACAGGTCCCGTCCCTCTCTGGACCTCCCGCCTTGTCCTTCAGGTGAGGGTTATACAGCCTCTCAGGGGCCCGCAAAACATAAGGTGAAAGTGCTTCCAAAGATACAGAGTCCCGTATAGATTCAAATTACCACCTTACTCTTTAGAAGTCACTCTTCTTGAAAGCTGATTAGCATGATTGTCCTACTCTCCGTGTCTGTATAATATGTCGGCTCCTATTATATTGTTCTATTTCTTATGAACATAATTACTTCTTATCTTCATATGAAATAATTTTAAAAGTGTGTCTTCCACCTCCATTGCTTTCCCAGTCTCTCTGGAGTTTTCTTCTCAGCAGGGAAGTTCTGGGTGGTATTTCTGGGCCTGTCCTTTAGCCACAGCGTCACCGGGGTGTGGAGAGAAGGGAGCGTCCAGTTGCAGAGCCGAGGCCTCGGTGCTGGGAACACAGTAGAGAGAACTGAGTGACCCAGAAGCAGCGGCACCAGCAAGTCCCAACCCCGGCCGCCAAGCTCCACCATCTCTGGGGGCCGTGGGAAGTGAGTCTGCAGCCTCAACGTGTCACCTACGTCGGACTCATTCGCCCGCGTCCGTGAGGCTGAGCCTACCTGGTCTTTCGATCTGGAGCTGGGCGACGGTGTGCCCACTCACCTTTGCCTCAAAGTCCCCTCTCTGCGGCTGTCCCTGCGGTGCTGAGCAGGGGAAGCGGAGCCTGTGTCACCCAGAGTTGCCCTCCCCACAGGGCTCCGGGCAGCTGAACCCAGCTAGGGTCGGGGAAGAACCGCGGAGCCAGCGGGGACCCGGCTCTGGCTCCCCGGCCAGCTCAGCTCCTCCGTGGGAGGCTGGACGTTTGCTGTCCACGTCCCCAAACTCATGAGGGTTTGTTCCCTTGCCTTCTAGAGTGCTAGCAGGTGAGGGAGGGAAGGAAGCGGCCAGAGACATCAGGAAAAACAGGCTAGGGACCCGAGCGTCCCCGCTGCTCTGCCCATCTGTGGAGAACGTGCCCTGTCCCCTCCTCGGCGTCCTGCCGTGTCTCGCTGGCTTCCACTCGCTCCGGCACTGCTGGTGCTCCCGTGGCCAAGGCAGAGTCTCCTCGGAAAAGTGCTCTGAGCCGTAGGCAGGGTCCCCAGGAGGGCCGGGAAGGGACAAGCCTTCACGGGCAGCTCGTGGGACAGGAGCGGCTCTGGGCCACGCTGCCCGGGTGAGTCCAGCTCTGAGGCTTTGTGACGTGGCCGAGCTGTCAGCCCTCAGGCTCGCGTTCCCCGTCTGGGCCGTGGAGGCGACAGTGCTGTCCTCCCCAGACGGCTGTCGAGTGCGTGGAGTGAGCCAGGGCACCACGTCGGACGGGTGGTCCGAGCCGTCTGCACACGGCTGGTGAGGATGAGGAAGGGCTGTGGTTTGAGCGACCGGGAGCGCTGTTCCCGGCGGGCTGCAGACAAATATGTTGCAAACAGGAAGGGAGACGTCCACGAGTGGCCTTTGCAAGGGCTCGGCGGGACCTGTTTGTTCAGAGGGCGCCTTGTTTCCTCCGACGAGTTCACTGCCGCTGGAAGTCCTGAGAGCGGCACTTCCCTCGGTGGGGCCCGGAGACCCGAGGCTCGGCCTCTGGCAAACTCTCTCCAGAGACAGCAATACCGCAGCGCCTTTCCCTCCTCTCTCCCGCAGGCCACAGAGGATGAGCCTTCTGAAAAGGACGCCCTGCAGCCTGGCCGCAGCATCGTGGCCGCGGGCTATGCGCTGTATGGCAGTGCCACCCTGGTGGCTCTTTCCACGGGGCAGGGAGTGGACCTCTTCATGCTTGACCCGGTAGGTACAGAATACGGTGGCAGCGGGGCCGGGCATGGTGGCTGTGGCAGAGTCTGTCCTGGCGACCGGACGTGACGTGTCCGCTCAAGATGATGCTGTGGTGGAGACAGCAGAGAGGCCTGCTGAAGCTGACGTCTCTGAGCTCTGCCTGCACGTGTTCTCCAAAATGGCCACGCCCCTGACTGGGGAACTGATGGCCACCAGTGAACACTATAAGCTCCTGGATAATATGAGCAAAGTAACCAGGTCGAATTATCTTGGAAGGAATGATATTACTGTAAACACTAGTGGAAACTTGTGGGGCGCAAACCAGAAGCGTGCTGGCCTGTAGCCTTACCTGGATCAGGTCCGTGTCATCGGGGAGCAGGTAGCAGCCGTGAGTAGGCAGCTTACAAGTCAGATGAAACCTGGAAGCCAAGGACAAGGCTTGGCTTGTTCAGAGAAACCTGGAAGCCAAGGACAAGGAGCTGGAGAAAGGAAGAAAAACTTGTTTCTATGGGACAGTGTCCCTTGTAATGTGGAAGAACGTTTGATGAGACCTGGATCCTGAGACTAGCAAATTGTCCAAACTCCTCCAAGGGTAACTGCGCTGGTCATCCAGCAATCATCCTCACGTCAGGGTAAACTGGACACTGTGGCTCCCCCTGCACCTCCTCTGGGGCAGTGTCCCTCAGAAACTCACACCTGTGAGTCCTGACCTTTGACTTGGAGGCTTCATTGGCCATCTATTCAGGACACAGATGCTCCCAAAGTTCAGGGTGCCCCTGGGCTTGCCAAGAGACTCCGTCAAAGGGCCTACTCTCCCTGGCAGTGGTTCATTATCACATTCGTTTTTTAAGGGGCTGGTTTTTGAGTTACTGTGGAAACATTTTTTAAAAACTAGTGACGATACTATATTGTTAACAAGATTCTAAATTTAGAAAACAAAACAGACTTGTTCTTTGTAGCTGATCACCTTGTGAATGTCAGTAATTTACCTTTCCACAACATTGCAAATAACAGAAAATCTTAAAATGATTACATGCTGAGTCTTCTAGACCACACAGAAACAGTGAAAGGAGTGTTCTGATGGTTGCTGCATGGCGTGGGCCCTCTTGCCTCTTTTCTTTTTTATTTTTTTTGTCCCCTAAGTATGTAACCTTGTACAATGGGTGTTGTCAAAAGCAGCAAACAACTCTCCTTTCTAAAATTGTTTAGATAAGTTACAAACAAAATTTGAAATCGTAAAAGAAGATTCCTTTAAATTTGTCCTCTCATTCTAGGGGATGAAGTATAATGCTTAAGAGCATAGGACTCTGGAGCCATACTACCTGGATAAAAATCCTGTCTCAGCCATTCAACTAGCTGGAAAGCCTTGGAAAATTTAATCTGTGTCCCTCAAATTTCTCATTTGTAAAAACTGAAGAATAGTACTGCTATTTGATAAGATTGTTGAGAGCACTAAATAAATTAAGGCTTATGTTAAACCACACAGACCAGTCAGTACCTCGCACATAGTAAGTGCTTTAGACATTTAAGTGTAATCATTATTATTACAGATAAACAGGCCCAGAGAAGGAAAAGGTCCAGCATGAGATAGCTAGGATTATTGGAAAAGATGTGCGCTCCTCACTTCTGAATCCTGTGCCCTTTGTACTACACACACATGCACTAATAATTTAGTGCATATATATGCACTAAATTATAATAATATATATGCACTAACTTATTATTTTAGCGGTTAACAACAAATCCTAACTGGCAGCTCTCAGAGAGCCATGACAATACGACTGCCTTAAGAAAAAAAGAAAAAGAAAAGAAACTCTAATCTTCCAGCTAGGCAAAGGTGTGCTGAAAGTTCTACATAAGAAAAAATAATTTAGAGGAAAGGGCAGCTTTCCAGATCAGCTTCATACCATCACTACTATTAACTACTTTCAATCTCTTTACACGCCAGTATGAGTCCCAGACAGCCATTTGCCCAAACTTTAGGTTTAAAGCAAAGTGTAACGGGCGTTTGGAAACATACCAAATCCTCACCCCTATGTTCTACAAGGGGAGAAAATTAAGGGCTTTCGGCCAACATAACAGCAGATTCTCGAGTGGCTTTGCTACTGTGATGGGAAGAACAGTGTATCCAGAGTCAAGTATAACGGCCCCAAATCGGCAAACCAGGCTGAGAGTCCTCCGAATGTGTACTGCCCAAGTGTGGCCTGTCTCCACGCGCTCCCTTTTTACGCATTTCCTGCACGCGGCCAGCTGCCGCCACCTTTTACAGAGTCATCATCGCCTCCGCAGTTTTAAACCCACTCATTGATAGGCCAGTGAGCGGCTAAGATTCTGGGTTAATTCCCAGTGGATTTGGCGACAGTGTAAGACAACTCCAACTCAGGCTGATCCCTTCACCCAACTAACCGGGCAGATCTTTTTCTCTGCAGACCCTGCTAGCCCAAGATGGCCAAGCAAAGACAACTTACCTCCCCCCTCGCCATTTTGCAACCTTAATTACACGTAGGCTCCCCTCCCAGTCGTTCTGTCTGAAATACCCTCTTGCCTCTTTTCTATGTGAGGAGCCAGCCATCTGCGGATGGATGGCATCTTGACATGTGCTCCCTTTTGGAAATGCAAAAAAGGCAAAGACAAGACACGTATGTGTGTGTGTGTTGGGTAGGGAGGTGGGGGCTGCCACTCATAAAATAAATGCTTTCATAAAATAAATAATAAAAACAGAATACGATGGCATCTACGCTTGGAGACTCCATGGTCCTCTGTGCTTTGATTTCAGTCCACTGGGATCATCTCCTGGTCATTCCTAATATTTGTTTTGGGGTCCAGAGAGCCTGGTTTGGGGAGCCAACACCATCATCAGAAAACAGGAAGGGCCTCTGTCCACGTGAGGGCACTTTTGGGAGAGGGGACTTACGAGTCTGTTGCATCGACTCAGGCCCTGTCCTTAAGGAGTTTATTTTCCAAAAATGAATTCAACCTCTTTGGTTTATGGGAGCACCATGATTTAAGAAAGGCAATGTGCCAATTTCCAGACAGAAGCATGAATTCTTTAGAGCAGCGCCATCCCGTAGACTGCTCTGTGAATTCTACTTTCAGATGCTGGATGCTTTGCTTATCACTTGTGAAATGCTTTGCCAAGTATAGTCAGGTCAAAAACTCAAGTAATGTTGACTCAAGACCATTTCAAAGCCTCTTGTAGTAATGCAGATGAAAGGTCAGTACTTCAATTTAATTCAGAGTTACAAATATTTACTGAGCATCTGCTGTGTCCCAAAGCACCGTTGCAGGCAGTGGAGACATAGCACGGAATAAACGATCATTCCAGCCCTGTGGAGTTTGCCTATTAGTGCATTTGTGTGCAGGGAATGGGGTTGCAGAATTTCAAAACAGAACATTTCACTGATAGAACAGAGTTTGCAGTGTGGACACCCAGGAACATTTCAAATAGAAAAGAACCTTTTCACTTATAAACCCATTAGACCAAGACTCCTTGCTGCATCAGTTTGCTAATGCCCTGATTCCCCTTATTTTCAAAGAAATTCTATGGTTTACAAATATTATTATACAAATGCTGGGGGTGGAGAAAACTCTCCAGCGCATTTATATAGCCTTTGACCTATGCAGGGCTGAATGCTAAAACTGCATTGTCAGTCAAGGGCAGAGCTCCCCAACTTACAGACATTTGTGTCTCCAGAAGTAAATATTCAGTATATGAAAACTTGACTGAGGACGTATATCAAAGAGAGGAGGCAGTGGCACCTCTTGGCAGATTTTGTTCTCACAGCAGGTTACCTGCTCCCGATAACTGAGAGGAGATCCTGCCAGGCTTGAAGGCTGTCTCAGCCCTTCAAAAGAGATCAAGTCACAGTGCTGACTCATGGGTGTCAAATAAAGGGGTGCACAGTTGAAGAAAGACATGAGAACTGAGGAGACAGTTCAGACGACAGCTGTCATCATGAAAAAGAGTTTAGAAAAGAAAGTGTAGGAAAAGATGTGGGGGGATATTGGGATTATTTCAACCTGAAAAGAAGAGCCTGAATAAAGTGTGGCAGGTAGTTGATAGCTGGACGTTCGCAGGGATGATTATGTAGAGCACATCTTTTCAAGGTTTTTTTGGTGCCAAGGCATTCTTAGAAAGGATCACATTGACATTAGCCCATAGGAAAATCAGGTGAGGCTGCTCAAGACTAGGTTCCGCCCTGAGGCTTTGCCACTCTTAGGTCCCACCCTGCCACCAAGGACTGAGGGAATCATCAGCCTAGCGCACTGTGACCTAGGCCTGGCTTGGGGGAGTCACATCCTGTTAGGAAACTGGTGTAGCAGGCTGGGACTATCTGTGTATTCAGTAGAGTTAGAAAAAGTGTGGACAGTATAATCAATGAAATATTGAAATCAAAGGAGGAAATGATTGGTTTCTATATTTGCAAGTACTGGATTCACTTGTCAAATGATGTGTGTGTGTGTGTGTGTGTGTGTGTGTGTGTAGCATGTCCCCAAGTCTTTGTATAATTTAAGATTCACTAACTTCAGAAAAATAAATGGTATGGAGTTACCCCCAAGACCATTTGACATTTAATTATATATGTTTATTTTAGACTTCTTTTCGTTTTGTGGATGTTGAATAATGAATTATTAGTTTTAATTATTTGAGTCAGCCATTCTGATTAGACACAGTAAAGGCTGACTTTAAAACAAAAAATTTGCTATTCAACATTCATAAAACTCAATGTAAAAGAACTTTAGCTTTTATATCTGGGTTAGTGTAAGCCAAAAGTATCCTGTAGATAATATAGATTTGAGCATATGTGTGATCCTGAGAGTGTTATATAAATACTGGGTACAAACATAACTTCCAGGGAGTATTTCAGACTTTGTGTGTCCAAGTGATGGGTCTGCACAGTAACAGGGGACTCAGGTAATATCTTGATGGTGGATGAAACCAACAGAAAATTTCACTGGGGCACATGTATGATCTGAAGAAAGAGTGGAGTTGGAAAACAGGATGGCAGGGGAGGGCAGAGGGACCCAGAGGACCCAGGAGGGGCAGTAGGATCTGCTGGGCTGGTGGGGAGAGGGGCTGTGCCACATCCTCCTCCTCTTGTCCCCTCCCCACCCTCAGAAGCCCTCTGTGACTGCCCGTGCTCTGTGATGCAGGCCTGGGACCGCATATGTGGCAGCCCAGCACCCTCAGCTCTCAGTTGCTGCGGCAGCCCTGCTCTTCAGCCATGGAGAACATTCTCTATTTACTGAACAGCGACACGGACCTATGGCAGAGCTTACGCTCGGCTGCTTTGAATTTAGACCCCCAGTTCACTTTTCTCAGTGGTTTGGGGCTACTATTCCTCTACCTAACGTACCTGGTGGTAGACTCCTTTTTATCAACCACCTGGGACATTCATGACAACCCAGAGGTAAGGAACACCCAGGAGAGATTCTTTGTTGTGGGTTCCCATCCCTAGTCCCGCATTGCTAAAGGAGTTTGGTCGCCTTACGGACTGATAGGACGTCACTCTTCTAGGGGCAGAGGTCGGGCAGGGCCAGGGATTCAGGAGGCCCAAGGTTTCCACCTGAGGCTCACAGGCTACCTGTCTGGGTGTGGCGGAGGGTTCCAGGACAAAACCCCAGCACAGTGACTTTGTGGTCCTGGGTTGGCGTCTTTAGAGTGTGTGGGTTCTCTGAAGGAGAACAGCTCTCCCGACACGTGAGCTGGAGTCACAGTCTCATGTCACATGTCACTCGACCACGCCTCCCTTCATGCTGGGCTGATCAGGAGAACAATGCCGAGAGCCTCTGAGCTCTGTCCCCAGGATACAGGGTCCCTCGAGGGCAGGTGTGACCGTCGTTGTGGGCGGACAGTGGGTGGCTGGGCTCCCTGGAGAAGAGGAGGAGAGAAGCCAGTCCCAGCCTCTCACTCTTTCCCTTTGTTCTCAGCCTCAGGACAGAGGGGAGATAAAAAGGCAAGGCGGGATGCGGAGAGGTAAGGTTCCCGTCTGCCCTGAGCTCGCAGGCGGGCTTTCCTGCTCCTTCTGTGATGTCCAGGCCCCTGGTCCCTGAGGGCGCCAGTTGCTGGACAGTCTCTCTGGGACAGCAGAGCCCTCAGAGTAGGCTCACGGGAGGCGGCGTGACCCAGGACACTTCTCAGGTGCCTGCTCTGCCCTGGGTGGCACGAAGGAGGGATGGAGCTGGGGACGGTGCTGCCACAGGTGGCCGTGGAGGTGTGGAGGAGGGACTGCCGGGGTGGAGTCGGAACTCCTGTCTCCTGGCCGGGTGTGGCACTTTCACCTCCTGGGCGCAGCTTCCTCTCTGAGGCGACCACTGAGGTCTGTGCTTCGCGTGGTGGTTTTGAGCATCGTGTGGGATAGCGTGTGCGACAGTGCTTTGTGAATGAGGCCACATGCACACGTGAGCCTTGTTAATATTCCTGTTGGCCGTGTGGCCTTGTCTGCTGACTTTCGGGCTACCAGAGTTTGCTATCCCAAGGGGCTGCCATAAAGGGACTCCCGTACGGTCCTTATGCGTCTGCCTTCCTCGCATGTCACCTCCTCTCCTGCTTTCCCAGGTAGGAGGAGAATTAGCCAGAGGGAAGCAGAGGAGGAAAGGAGGATGCTTACCATCCTCACCAGGTGACTAATCTTTCCCCTTCTAACCCGGTCCCTGTAGAAAGCATGTTCTAGGCGTCTCAGGGATTCAGTGTCCCCTGCCGCAGTCATGGGAGGGGTGGCCGTGGGAATGGGCATGTGAACAAAGGCTGGGGCAGAGGCCGCAGAGTGTATTGTGAAGTCGTGGGTGGGGCAAGGTGAGGGGCAGCAGCTTCAGGTGGCCCCACCCCGGCTAGGCTAGCAGCCCCCTCTCCTTGTGCTGTCCTGGCTGCAGCTTTGTCCCTCCTGTCTTCTGCAGCTCCTTTGGTGAGGATGACGACATAATGAGTTTTCGTCGAGCTCTATGTCCGGACCCCTTCTGCGGCATGTGTATTAGGGCAACTAGTGACATCATGAACGTGCTGTTCCAGGGGACCCTGGAAGATCCTGCTCCATCCAGGTCACGTTCGGAGTCTGAAGTTTCCCCAACAGCATCGTCCTACAGTTTGTCCTCTAGCCCCTCGGCAAGCCCTCCCCGTCCAGGAGAACTGACACCTGCTTCTGTGCTCGAGCCTTCTCCACCTGCCGCCTCCATTCTCTTACCTGCCCTGGTGACCCCCTTACCTGCGTCCCTTTCTCCCACCCTCACCACTGGGTGACTCTGCCCCAGAGCCTCACCAGTCCCCACCCCAGCGCTTGCCTTTTCCTCTGCCACCACCTCAGAGCCCCCCGGGGCCCCTCCAACTCCACGACTCCCTTCTGTGAACTGATACAAAGAGCCCTGGCAGTCTCCTTCGAGCCCGTTGCTCTCACTGGGCAGGAGCTGTGTGTGTCCATGGCTTCCTGATTCAGTAAATTGTTAAATAGCTTTTGCTTAAATTAGTTTGGCAAATGTGTTAATAAGTGAGAGAGGAGGGGGGGACCAAGAGCATGGGGAAATAAAAGGTGTCAAAGAATAAAACAAACATGAAAGGACCTTTAAGATAGAAAGCTGAATCCATTTGTCTGTCAGGCAGGGAACACACTCCAGTCAGGAAATCCACTGAGTGGACAGTTAATGGATAGATATCTTGACAATTTTTACCTAGGAGGGAGGAAGATTACAGGGAGGGTAGAGACTCGTTGGTGGAGAAGCAGTCATCACTGATGTTAGGCAGAAGAGAGGAGTGGTTAGTAATTTTTGTAGTTGTTGAGTATCCTTGTCACTCTCTTGTTTCACATATGATCAGTGTTGCCTTGCTTGTTTATAATCCGGGAGTATCTTTGATGTTCCTTGGGAATGTTTTGGTCTAGCTGCCAGCTGTGAGCTTTCATCTGAAGAGTTTTTCATTTTCTCACAATCTTTGACATCATGAAAATGGACCTCGGTTCCTGGCCCTGACTTTCCACCTAGTGACTAAAAGAGACACCTTAAGGTGACATCTGCAGCTCGCTGATCATATCTTTAGGGGCTGCTACCACCAGAACTAGATAAAGGGTGTCTGAAGGATGTCTTACACATTGACCACAGTGGTCATAGGGGGCCTGCAGGGGAGTGAACACAATTTTATTAATGTCTGAAGATTCCTTTAGATTTTACCAACTTTTTCCTTATGCCCAGTGAACCCAGGTTATAACTGAAGGAATTCCCCCCCCCCAGGTAGGAGTGGTTGGGATGCCAGGGACTTTTAATGGTTTCCAAGATTGAATCACTAAACAGAATAGCTGGCCCACAAGTTAATGGTCAAAATGCCCCCTTCACACATCCACGTGCCTTCTTCCTCTCATTGTTGATGGCTCAAATGTTCTGGAAACATAAGGTGGGGATGAGAACCTGGGAGATAATACAGTCAGGCTGGTTGTAGGTGAGGGGCCTCGCTGACAGGGGACGGCACAGAGGCAAAGAAGGAAGACCTCGGGCCTCCTTCGCTTTGAGTTACTTCTCCTCTCATTGCGTCGCTGCGTGAGCGTCCCGCGCAGGCGCCATGGCAGCGCTGTCCTGTCTGCCGTCGCGGAAACGCCCCTGGGCAGGCCCCAGCGCGGCCACGGCCAGCCCGGCTCCTGCCCGCAGGTCCCGTCTTCTCAGGCCCTGACTGCTGTGCAGCAGCGTGCTGTGGGTCCTCTTTCCTGTTTGGCTTCTCGGCTTCCTGGCGTCTCTCTTCGTCTTTCCAGGCTCTTGGTGAATTTGTCCTGGTGGAAAAAGATGTCAAGATTAAGAAGAAAGGGAAGATTTACAGCCTCAATGAGGGCTATGCCAAGTATTTCGATGCTGCCACCGCTGAATATGTGCAGAAAAAGAAATTCCCTGAGGTGAGTGAAGAAAGTCCAGGCCACTAGCAGGGAGAATGTCACATCTGTGGGGTCCTGTTTGGGCGGTGGCTTCAAGGGCATTGCCAAAAAGCGGTCATTACCAATACTTATGGCTCTGGTCAGCATGAGCATGGTGGACTCTGTCTTTCTTCAGAAGCGATCAATGTCTTTTATAGCTAAAGTTTACCTACTAAAGGTAATACTTACCTTTATGTTTGACTTTCTTCCAGGAGACATTGTTCATGAAGAAGGTAGGGATCACATTTCCAAAATTCAGAAGTTCAGGCCAGAATGTCTCTTGAATCATTGGTTTGCTAAGCTCCAACTTATAGATTCACTCACTGAGTTGCACTTGCTTTTTTGAATAACAGCACTATATCATAGGCTAAGTTCCCAAAGAGATTTTAGGAAAGAGGAAAGTGGCTGTCACACTCAAGCTTCTATCTAAAAAGAAAAAAAAATAATTATAAAAAAAAAAAAAAGAGGAAAGTGGCTGGCATCTCCCTTCTCTTTCTTTGGGATGCAAAGCCATCTTCCTGCTCTCTTCTGTCCCTTCTCTTTTCTCTCTCTCCTCTAAGAAGATAAACTATTTTTACTATATATCTTTTTAAAAAAAGGAAAGAAGAAAGTGAGTTTGAGTTTGATGCAATTTATATATTACTCCTTCATTCAGTGGTATGTGTGTGTGTGTGAAACCAGGTGTTGATTTTGTGCTGTGTGGCTCCTTCATGTCTGTGAGTGACATGGCAATGATCATTATTGAACCTCATTCTTCTAGGTGTAGGGAGGGATAGAAAAGATATAAGCAATATGATCCTTGTCCATAGGTCAGCAATTTTATTTCTATGCCAAGGCTTATACATAAGAAATTACTAAGGAAAGATATAGAAGAATATGTAACTGATACAAATTTACAGTGTAGATGCAATATGTAGGATGTAGGCTCTTTTTGACCCACTTGGTAGAAGACATAAAAAGAAATGCTTGTGGAAAACTGTACAATATGAACTTTTGGGTGGTGATGAAAACGTCGTGTCTCCTTTGGCAATCAAGCTTTTAGCCAAATATGTGGAGAGTCAGAAAAATTTATGAAGATCACTGCTCTTCTTTCTCTGGTTAAATATTTCTAACTTTACCTCTTATTTGCCTGGCAGACATGCCTGGAGAAATCTCTCCTCACACAGTTGGTTGGATTTTCTGGTGGTTTGTGAGTCCAGGGGTGACTGGTTAACACAACTGGAGGCCCTGCCTTCAAAGTCTATGCAGAGCCTGGTCACTCCCCCTACTGTTAGTACCTGGTCCAGTTGCCACTTCTCAGTTGCCTGGACTGCAGCCACAGCTCCCAGCTCCTGCCACCTCCTCCACATGTTGTCAGCCCCAAGCAGGAGGCTGCTCAAGCCTGAGCCAGGTCATATCACTGCTCTTCTCCCCACCTGCTAAGCCTGCCCCACTCACAGTGAATGCACAGACCCCGTGGCCAGCAGGCCCTGCACAACGCAGCCCCCTGAACCACCCAAGCTTCTCTCTACTGCTTCCATCTTGCTCCCTCCACTGCAGGTGCACTGACTTTTCCTCATTCCTTGACCACACCAGGCCTGCTCCTGCCTCAGGTCTCTTGCACTTCCCTGTTCCCGCTGCTGGAAAGCTCTTCCCCAGATATCCAGAGAGTGCACTCCCTCACTTGGTGAAGTCTTTTCTCAAATCTCAGTTTACCAGCGATGCCTTCCTGACCTACCTGTGTACAATTGCAACCGCTTCACCTCCAGCACTCCCCTGTCCCTTTCCCTGCTTCATTTTTTCTGTGTGACTTACCTTCAAAGACACTACTTACTATATTTATATATTTAATACAGGAAAAGCAAAAGTATCATCCACTATCCCCTGACTCAGAGACTTTTATATTTATATTTTCTTCTTATCTTATACTACAAGAGTTATTCTGTGTCCCAATCTTTGTTGCTTTATATCATCAGCTTTGTTACAAATTAACACATAATCTCAGTAAATATTATTTCAAATTATTATATTACTGTTATTTAACCTTTTGGGCATATGATAATTATTTGCTATTATAAATAATGCTGTGATTAACATCTTTATGGTAGAAACCTTTTTGTGTTTGGATGATTTCCTTCAGAGATATTAAAAGAAATGGTATGCCTATGCCAGTCCCTTAAATGGTTGTTTTTGAAGTGCTTAATCATACTGCTAAATTACTGTTGGAAAAAGTCTGTAAAAATGTACCATTCAAAAAGCAAAATTTGAAAGGTGTGAACTGATTTTTTAATGTACCTTTAACAGATATTCCGTTTTCACACCTGCATTCTTTTTTTTTTTTGAGACAGAGTCTCACTTTGTTGCCCAGGCTAGAGTGAGTGCCGTGGCATCAGCCTAGCTCATAGCAACCTCAAACTCCTGGGCTCAAGCAATCCTACTGCCTCAGCCTCCCGAGTAGCTGGGACTACAGGCATGCGCCACCATGCCCAGCTAATTTTTTCTCTATATAATAGTTGGCCAATTAATTTCTTTCTATTTATAGTAGAGATGGGGTCTCGCTCTTGCTCAGGCTGGTTTCGAACTCCTGACTTTGAGCTATCCGCCCACCTCAGCCTCACAGAGTGCTAGGATTACAGGCGTGAGCCACCGCGCCGGCCCACACCTGCATTCTTGAGATGATGAGAGAAGCTAGAACTGATGGTGGTTCTTTTTACCGCCTCTTCTCCAGCTCACTGCCCTATGGACATGGAAGTCAATAATACCCTGACACTGGCTTTTTAGAAAAGAAAAGCTTTTTTGCAAGTTGACCAAGGAGATAAGAGAAATGCTCAAGTCTGTCTTCCTGATCTGGGGGTCTGGGTCAGGTTTTATAAGCATAGGGTAATGAGGTGTGATCTGATTGGATCTTGCAATGGGGTGGTTCCAGGAGGCATGCTCTGACTGGACCATGTCATGGGGTGATGCCAGGGCTTGATCTGATTGGATCCTGGATCTTGCCATGCAGTGTCCGTTTCTTAATTCAGTCCCCGGTCCTCTGTCTGGCCCAAGCACTTAGGTTCCACATATGGTTGCATACTTGGCTCATCTGGGCATGCTCAGTTTATATGACCTTCAACCTGAAGGTCTATGGTAACTGAAAAACAGCTCACAACTTTGTTACATAAAAGTTGAGCCAGATTGGTCTGGTGGGATTACACAGCCACCTGAGTGTCCAAAGGTAGGGAAGAGGGGACAAGAAGGGTTAGGACAAATGGGCCCTAAGAGTCCTTTGGTTTCGGGTTCAACTTCTTTTTTGTAGGGTCTGCCATGGCTTTATTGGACCCAGAGAGATACAAGCAAGGGGTTGTGGTGTGGATACTAGATTGAAATAAATACAAATCAATAACTATGAGCTTAAAAGTATTCACTTTATGGGGGATGGGTGGTTGGATATGGGGAAAAAAATATTTACTTTATGACCTATCAGCAATGTGATAGATAGCATTTTGTATGAAAGTTTTGCATCTTAGAAATAAGCATGATAATACCCAATGCTTTACCTCGTGTAAAAGCAGAGATTGGGTATTTAATATTCCTTACATGGCCAATGGTATGTAAGGATAAGGGTCTGTATTTGTCCATTTAGTGATTAGTAAATTTAAGTGGAAGAGACCCCAGGTAAGGATAATTGTTTGGATGAAAGAATTTCAATCCCAAAGTCTCTTGCTTCCTCATTTTAATTATAGTACAGAAAGACACGGATTATCTAGCACATGCCTGAGAGCAGACACAATAGTCCAAAGGGTGTCTCCTAAGAAATATTATTGATTCTTTCATTCTTCACATGATTGAGAAAACTAAAAAATGTTAGTCTGTGGAATTATTTTTCCCATGAGAAGAGAGAGGAGAAATAAATATAAGAAACTAGCACTCTGGGAGGCCAAGGTGGAGGATTGCTCGAGGTCAGGAGTTCAAGACCAGCATGAACAAGAGTGAGACCCTATCTCTACTAAAAATAGAAAGAAATTATCTGGACAACTAAAAATATACAGAAAAAATTATCCAGGCATGGTGGCACATGTCTGTAGTCCCAGCCACTCAGGAGGCTGAGGCAGAAGGATCGCTTGAGCCCAGGAGTCTGAGGTTGCTGTGGGCTAGGCTGATGCCACGGCACTCTAGCCTGGGCAACAGAGTGAGACTCTGTCTCAAAAAAAAAAAAAAAAAAAAAAAAAAAAGAAAGAAAGAAAAGAAAAGAAAAAGAATCTAGTAACAACTGTTGTCTCTAGGGAGGGGTTGTATTAGGAATAGGGAGGAAGAAAAACTTACTATTCACTTCTGTACTTTTTGAATTTCTAACAAGTAAGGGTGTTACTTGAGCGATGCATCAATCAACAAACACAGCAACGAGAAGGTGCGCCCTGTGCCTGCTGATGCTGTCAAAGGTCCCGTCTCTGTGGTCTTTGCTATTCAGCCAGGTGGTCCCTAGCACTGCCCACTGCAGTAAAATCCCATTAATTGGGCTTCGACTGTAAAGCAAATTTTATGAAGAAACTGGTAGTCTTAGGAACTGTTTTCACTTACCCTGGAAGCTGCCCTCGATTTATTTCATCAAAACTGTCTTGGGTGACTGTCGTATGCCAGGTGCGGGGCTCCATGTGGCTCTGGACAGGACAGGCGGGTTCCTAGTGGAGGTTACAGCAGGGTGAAGAAAACAACGGTGAGCATGGGGGGGAGTATGAAATAGAAGGGCAGGGCGCCGTGGGAGCACGGAGCAGGGGGAGTCTCCCTGGTTCAGGGGTCATGAATGGGCTTCGTGACTCATGAGCGGTGAGTAGCTATTGTCTGGTGAAGTCAGGAGCCACGTGGGGAGGAGGTAGGAGAAGCCAAGGTGAGGAGAGCCTGCGCTCAGGTCTGACCTGCTCTGTCCTGCGCAGTGGCCGCCAGACTCCAGCAGCTGCTGAGTGCTTGAAATGGGGCTAGTCCGGATTGAGACACGCACCTTAAGTGTAAAACACACGTAGGATTCCAAAGACAGCATGAAAAAAGGAATGTGAAATATCAAATAATGTTTTACAGTGATTATATGTTAAAATGGTAATATTTTGGATATATTGGGTTAGTTGAAATCTATTATTAAGATTAGTTTCCTCTAATTCTGTCTACTCAAGTAATGTGATTATGTACTGGAAAGTTGAACACTACGCTTGTGGCTCACAATGTTTCCACTGGACGGCGCTGTCTGCAGTTGACTGTGAGCGCAGTGTGTGCGGCACCTGAAGAGACTGCAGCACAGTCGGCACGTGGAGGGCAAGGGGTGTGGCAAGGACGGGCCTGGACACCAGGCATGAATGGCCCTTGGAGGTCCTTTGAAGGCTCGGACCTTCCTAAGGGCGTGGGAAGCCACTGGAGAGGTTCCAGCAGGGCAGTGGTAAGAGGAGCAACCGGCTTTCGTGGGGAATACTCTGGAAGACAATCAGAGGGCTACAGTCATCCTCCACGGCTGCTCTGTGCACCTGGCCTAAGATCCAAACCCTCTCCTGGGCCTACAGGGCCCTTCACACTCGACCCCAGCCTTCTGCTCCCACCTCCTGTCGTTCCGTGTCCTCCGCTGTCTCTCTGGAACAGGGCAGAATCTTTTCCATCTCGGAACTTGGTAATACGCTAATCCCCTTTGCCTGGAATGCTTTTGCTTAGCTCTTCTCAGAATCGGCTTATTGTTCCTGGAGCTGGTCCTCAGCTCCAGTGTCACCTCGGAGAATCCTTCCCTGGCTCCCTTGTGAAAATATCTCCTCAGTTACTTATTTCTTCAATGCACCCATCATTATCTGAAATTACCTTAGGCTTTCTATGTTTGCATGTCTACTGTCCGTCTTTCTGCATTAGGATACAGACTTCTGGAGAGCAAAGGCCTCGCTGTCTAATCGGCTGTCATGCATGACAGTCGGAGCTTTGGGGATGGGAGGAGCGCAGGGAAACGTGGTAGGCCGAGTGAGGAGAGCGCCCAGGACACAACTCTAAGGATGTAAATACCAGAGGGTGAGCTGGCGCTGGAGACTGCAGGGACATCTAGGCAGAAAGAGGAGCGTCATGTCGTGGAAGGCCATGGAAGACAGTGTTTGAAGAAGGAGCTCGTGGTCAGTATGGAAAGTGTCGCCTAGTGTCTCCCGGCCGTGGAGACTCGGGCGGCACTGGTGACCTTAGTGACTGTCTGGGAGCCAGAATGCAGGGAAGAGCACGGCGGGGAGGAGAGGAAGTGCAGGCAGCAGATGTGCACAGCGCCACTCCCCCATGGAAGGTGGCCGTGGGAGGTCCCAGGGTGCAGCGATGCGGATATGGGGTCTCTGGAAGAATTTTTTTCAAATGGGAGAGAGTTGAGCAGATGGGCTGAGGCAGGAAGAGAAGTTGAAGTGAAAGGAGAGGTGAGGGTGCTGGATGTCTCGGCTCTGTGAGAGGCTGGAGGAGAAGGAGCCAGCAGCCGGGAAGAGGGGGGGCTGTGGACAGGGTGAGGACACCACCTCTTAGAGGAGCAGAGGCGGGACGTGTACTCAAGCCTTGCGATGGGCAAGCGACACAGGACATGGCCCCCACCTCCAGGAAGCTGCCATGTGGTTGGAGTGGCAAGACACGGCAACAGATGAGGGCGGGCACATTCAGGGTGGCATGGCTGTAGACAAGACATTGCGACCAAAAGAATAATAACTCGGTGTGAAATAATCCTGCAGGCAATGAGTGCTGTGCTATTCCACAGGAGAACAAGATTAACTCCTGATGCTGTGATCAAGGAAGTTTTCATGAGAAGTGGTGTTTGATGTGGGCCTTAAAAGCAGGGGAGCTTCTCACCAGCTGGAGGTGTAAGTGGTAAAAGAAAATAAAGGAGGAGAGTGCATTTCCTGTCTACGGACCGGCATGAACAAAGGAATGAAGTGCTGTACTTCCATCAGTTTGTCCTTTCAGCTAGGAGACAGAGTTTTGTTTTGTTTTGTTTTGTTTTGTTTATATCTGTATTCTGATAGAACGTGGCAATTTAGAGGAAGAAAGAGACCTTAGGGATTATCTCTACAAATGTCCTTATTTTTCTAGGTATGAACACTGAAGTGCAGAGAGATGGAAATAACTATTGAAAGTCACAAAACTGGTAAGTGACAGAGTTGGGCTTGGCTCACAAATGTAGCTTCTACAATAATGTTATTGTACAGGTTGTAAGGATAGATATATTGGGTAAAACCAACCAAATTTTTTTTGAATTACATTAGAGGTGCAAGAAAGTAAAGATTAGATGAATTTTAAATTCTTAAAGGAGATATGGTTATATAGTTAAGTGATTACAACAATTCTAACAAAGTTTCGCTATAGAAGACGTTTTGTTGTAACCTACATTAATGGAGAGATCAGGATGATTTGTTACTAGGAGATTAATTGATGACTTCCTGCAATTCACCAGATTTATTCTAGTCTCCCATGTCTTGGCCAAACTAAGCCCCAATTAGCCAAAGTGAATTTAAAGAAAAATCTATGTTAACTGGAAGTATAAATTCACAAAAGAGAAGGAGGAGAAGGGTGATGAGAAGATATTAGTTTCATATGCCTACTGTGACAAATTACCACACACTTAGTGGCTTAAAACAATATAATTTTTTTTTTTTGAAACAGAGTCTCACACTGTTGCCTGAGCTAGAGTGAGTGCCATGGTGTCAGTCTAGCTCACAGCAACCTCAAACTCCTGGGGTGAAGTGATCCTTTTTTAGTTGGCCAATTAAATTTTTTTCTATTTTTAATAGAAACAGGGTCTCGTTCTTGCTCAGGCTGGTTTTGAACTTCTGACCTTGAGCGATCCGCCTGCCTTGGCCTCCCAGAGTGCTAAGATTACAGGTGTGAGCTACTGCACCTGGCCAAAACAACACAAATTTACTGTCTTACAGTTTTGAAGGTAGAAGTTCGACCCAGATCTCCTTAGGCTACATCAAAGTGTTAGCAGGGCTGTGCACTTTCTGGTGGATGTAAAGGACAATCTGTTTTCTGTCTTTTGCAGCTTCTCAAGACTGCCCACTTTCCATGGCTGGGACCTTCTTACTCCATAGTCAGTGTCAGCCATCCCCGCTTCTCTCAGAGAACTTGAGGTCCCTCTGACCACAGCTGAAAATGTTCTCTGTTTTTAAGGGCTCCTGTGATTAGATCGGGCCTACCTGGACATTCCAGGCTGCCCTTGTCATCTCAGGGTCCTTAACCCTAATCACATCCGTAAGGCCCCTTTGCCATGTAAGGTAACAAATTTTCAGGTTCTGGCGTTAGGACAGGGACATATTTGGGGGTCTGTTATTTTGCTTATTGCAAAGAAGAAAGAGGAGGAAAAGACATGGGGTAGATTATTTGCGAGATGGCTGATAGATAATTAGAAAAGAAAATCAGCATCAATTGCCAGTATAAATTATCTGGCAATTCATTAACTCATAGCAGATATCATTTCTTATTTAATTTAGTTACTGGGCAAATGGATCTGGGGAATGCCAGAGACAAATTTATCATCTGTGTGTGTGTTTTTTTTAGGATGTTCTTGCAGAGAGATGAAGGAACGTGTGTAAGATGTCACTGCAGTAAGCCCCATTCGAAGCTCATTAAACAACTGAGGAAAAGTGGGAACAGATGTAAACCTGGATGAACGTCTCCCAGTGTGGCACGGGCTTTCTGTCCTCCGTCCTTCTTTCTTCATAGCATTATTAGTGACTTGGATGAGGACTTAACAGTCAGGTGTATAGAATTTGCAGGACAAAAATTTAGGGAATATCTTAATAAACTAGGAAGATGAAAGCACATGGACCATTAAATCATAAACATGAAGTCTTAAATTTCAGGGAGAAAATCAATTAAATGCAGGATGGATGGCACTGGTTGTGGTGTCAGATTATGTGAAAATCTTTTTTTTGAAAAACGCAATGACTGTGTCTATGAAAGTAGAGGTAATATTAAGGACATCAACTAAAAAATGTTGAACATCTACTGCGTACCAGGTACTGCACTAGGGCCTGTATGTATGCCATATATTTTCACACTCACAATAAATCCATAAGGAATAATGATTATCTTTGTTTCCTGGGTGAACTTAGGGTTCAGAGGTGTGACACAACTTGCCCAAGATTACACAATCATCTGTCTATACAAACTTGGGCCTGACTTCAAAGACCATATTCATATAACAGAATGACAGATGTTTTCAATGGCCTGAGGAATTGTAGCTTCATTAGCAAAAGTACAGTGTCCAGGTCATTATAGAAATCATCTAGTGTACTTTACCATTTTGGTCTCTTCTCTTTAAGAGAGGCTTTGAGAAACTTTAATGTGCATAGAAGAGTGTTCTGGACACAAAGTCGTTTGAGGAGTAATTGAGTAAACTTGGTATGTTTTGCCTAAAAAAAATCCTTGAGGTCAGTCAGGGTGGATGGCACAAAAACATAATACTCCCTAGAAATATTCGAAGACAGAATAGTAGGTAAAGTACACTAGATGATTTCTATAATGACCTGGACACTGTGCTTTTGCTAATGAAGCTACAATTCCTCAGGCCATTGAAAATCTGTCATTCTGTTATATGAATATGGTCTTTGAAGTCAGGCCCAGTTTGTACAGACAGATGATTGTGTAATCTTGGGCAAGTTGTGTCACACCTCTGAACCTAAGTTCACCCAGGAAACAAAGATAATCATTATTCCTTATGGATTTATTGTGAGTGTGAAAATATATGGCATACATACAGGCCCTAGTGCAGTACCTGGTACGCAGTAGATGTTCAACATTTTTTAGTTGATGTCCTTAATATTACCTCTACTTTCATAGACACAGTCATTGCGTTTTTCAAAAAAAGATTTTCACAATCTGACACCACAACCAGTGCCATCCATCCTGCATTTAATTGATTTCTCCCTGAAATTTAAGACTTCATGTTTATGATTTAACGGTCCATGTGCTTTCATCTTCTAGTTTATTAAGATATTCCCTAAATTTTTGTCCTGCAAATTCTATACACCTGACTGTTAAGTCCTCATCCAAGTCACTAATAATGCTATGAAAAAGAAGGACAGAGGACAGAAAGCCCGGTGCCACATGGGAGACGTTCATCCAGGTTTACATCTGTTCCCACTTTTCCTCAGTTGTTTAAGAGCTGTGAATGGGCTTACTGCAGTGACATCTTACACACGTTCCTTCATCTTTCTGCAAGAACATCCTAAAAAAACACACACACAGATGATAAATTTGTCTCTGGCATTCCCCAGATCCATTTGCCCAGTAACTAAATTAAATAAGAAATGATATCTGCTATGAGTTAATGAATTTATACTGGCAATTGATGCTGATTTTCTTTTCTAATTATCTATCAGCCATCTCACAAAATAATCTACCCATGTCTTTTCCTCCTCTTTTTCTTTGCAATAAGCAAAATACAGACCCCAAATATGTCCCTGTCCTAACGCCAGAACCTGAAAATTTGTTACTTACATGGCAAAGGACCTTACGGATGTGATTAGGTTAAGGACCCTAAGATGACAAGGGCAGCCTGGAATGTCCAGGTAGGCCCGATCTAATCACAGGAGCCCTTAAAAATAGAGAACATTTTCAGCTGTGGTCAAGGGACCTCAAGTTCTTGAGAGAGCGGGATGGCTGACACTGACTATGGAGTAAGAAGGTCCAGCCATGGAAAGTGGGCAGTCTTGAGAAGCTGCAAAAGACAGAAAACAGATTGTCCTTCACATCCACAGAAAGTGCACAGCCCTGCTAACACTTTGATGTAGCCTAAGGAGATCTGGGTCGAACTTCTACCTTCAAAACTGTAAGACAGTAAATTTGTGTTGTTTTGGCCAGGTGCAGTAGCTCACCCCTGTAACCTACTAGCAGTCTGGGAGGCCAAGGCAGGCGGATCGCTCAAGGTCAGAAGTTCAAAACCAGCCTGAGCAAGAACGAGACCCTGTTTTATTAAAAATAGAAAAAAATTAATTGGCCAACTAAAAAAGGATCACTTCACCCAGGAGTTTGAGGTTGCTGTGAGCTAGACTGACACCATGGCACTCACTCTAGCTCAGGCAACAGTGTGAGACTCTGTTTCAAAAAAAAAAATGTATTGTTCTAAAGCCACTAAGTGTGTGGTAATTGTCAC